CATGCCATCTTTTACTGCCAACTGTTAATGTAGAGTACTGATAGGACATTGCTTCAGTCTCTTCACAGTGGGGAAAACCCAAGGCAGATCACCTTCCTAGAGCAAACAGGCTGGAGTCGCATCTTGGAGTGCTATGGGATTCATTTTTTGCTTTTCTGACTGCCTCCCCCCAACTTCAAAGTTAAGCATTCTTCCAGTTATTATACTTACAAGTGAAAATCAAGACCAAAGTTAACAAAGAATAGGGATAAATAACTCATCTGCTGAGATGAGTAAAGTAGATAAGATATGTGCATATATTTTTGATAAATATATATATAGGCAAACATGTAGCATGGATACTTGTGCTCAAAGTAAATTGCTAATACGATAGCCTAAAATAAAATACTAAAAGCTTTCTTATATCACAACCACCAACCTGAAAAGAAAACCTGTTGCCATCAAGTCAATTCTGACTCATGGCAACCTCATTTGTTACAGAGTAGAACTGCTCCATAGCGTTTTCTTTCCTGTGACCTTTCAGAATCAGACGGCCAGGCCTTTCTTCTACAGCTCCACTGGGTAGATTTGAACCGACAACCTTTAGGTTAATAGTCAAGGGCAAACCATTTGTGCTACCCAGGGACCATCAACCACCACCATCACCACCTACCCCTCAACAAAAAAGAAAAGATTTAGGACATTCTAACATAGACAGTCCACGGTGGCTGCAATATGATTTTCTTTCAAAGCAATGGTTTTTCATTTTCCGAAGTTGCTTTATTTTTCTTTGGTTTGGATCCCTCCCCCCACTAGTGGGATGAGTCTAAGTTAAAAAATGTAACAATGAGGGGGAAAGGGACCATTCTCCATTTTCGTGTAATTAGGAGCCCCTCCAGGTGATTCCCTTTCTCCAAAGGTCGAGATTTCTTCCTCTGCCCTTCCCAGAAGCTCACCGTGTCAGGCAGCTTCCCAGAGTTTATGAGTAACTTCCTTTGTAGCAGAGGCCGAGCTCTAGGTTAACTTCTGGAAGTATCTTTGGAAACTAATTCTCAGGCAAAACTCCAAGAAAAAGAGGCACATGGTGAGCAACTGACATAATTTTTTAACACCACAACCAACATATTTCTGTAAGCAACTGCGGCCAAAAAGGGTTGCCAAGACCAATATTGATCTAGTCCTTCATCCAATCAACAAAATGCCATTGTTTATAAGATATAATTTTTCTTGGTTCAAGTTCAAAGTTAAACTCCAAGGATTTTCAAAACTATAAAAAATAAGAGGCTTTCATACCCTAAAAAAAAAAAAAAAAAAAAATTCCTGGCCAGTTTTCCTCCTTCATGGGTTTTCAGAGTCACTATAAGAAACATAGCCAAGAAAACATTTTTTTGGTCTCTTTTGCTCTGAATTCTTGTAGTTTTTTAAAGGAGGATGATACTAAAAATATAGGTAAAAGGCCCCTAAATCTTTGTACCTCTCCTGAAATTCATGGAATGTCAATTGCACAGATGACTCAGGTTTACTTGTCTGCTCCAAGGCTACCCACCTGCAGAATTCCATAAACCAACTCAGCTTTTTCCAGGTTTAGAGTCAAGCAGCCTTCTCTCTTCCCACCTCTCTTTTTTTTTAATGTGGAAATGACAGTCTTTACTAAGCCCCTTGGAGTAGGTTTCTGTGGTACCCATCAGATTCTGAAATGGAAAACCTTAGCAAAGAAATGGTGAGCAGATGGTGCTCTGTGAAAGAGTTCTGCATGGTTCTTCTAGATCCACACAAGCATCCATTTCTGGGAGCTGGTGTCCATGATGAGCAAGCCAAGTTTAGGATTGGTTCTAGGGTGGAATAATAATGAGATTATATTTATGAGCTCCCAAGATGTGCAGCTTCTTTAAAAAACAAAAAGGAGTTAACAAAGGTCAAAGCTTATCCAAGACTGCCCTCCTCTCAGAAGACCTAGCACAGTGGCTTGCACACTTCAGGTGCTAAGTGTTAGCTGATCGGTGGATTGATTATTAAGTTTGGGGACACCTAGAGTATGCTGAAGGAGCCCTGGTGGCTCAGTGTTTAAGAGCCCGGCTGCTAACTGAAAGGTTCTTGGTTCGAATGTACCAGTTGCTCTGTGGGAGAAAGACGTGGCAATCTGCTTCTGTAAAGATTACAGCCTTGGAAACCCTATGGGGCAGTTCTACTCTGTCCTATAGGGTCTATATGGGTTGGAATTGACTTGACAACAATGGTATACTGATTTATTCCCTTGGAGATAGCTCTCAGTTCACATTTCAGTTTGGAGAAAATGTGAGGCAAGGATGAAAGTGAGCATCCGTTCCTGCCCCCAATGTGTATTGAGCTCCTAGCATGAGCCAGGCTCTTGTGTAGGCACTTAGGGTACATCAGTGAATAAAACAGACAAGAAGTTCCTGCACTCAGGACCTTATGCTCTAATGGGAAGGGAGAATAAACACGTTCATTCCATAAACAATCAACTAATCTTTTAGAAGGAGTCCCTGGGTGACACAAACATTTAAGTGCTCGACTACTGGCTGAAAGTTTGGTGGTCGGAAGCCACCCAGAGGTATCTTGGAAGGCATCCCTGGTGATCTGTTTCCAAAAGGTCACAGCCTTGAAAATTCTATGGAGCAGTTCTACTCTGCACACATGGGGTCGCCAAGAGTCAGAATCAACTCAAGGCAACTAACAACAACAATCTTTAGAGGCGATGCTTTGAGTACACTTACATGACGGTCTTTCAGAAAAGACAAGCAGGAGAAATGCTTGAAAGACGCAGGATTCTGGGAAGCCACAGCAATACACCAAACTCCTCAAGCTGTCACAGGGCCAAGAACCCAGGGGCTAATTTCGAGCAGAGACATTTCGTGCTGGCACCGACAGCTCACATTTGTATAGAGCTTTCTAGTTTGCCAACAGCTTTCACAGCCATAATTTTCTACAATCCTCACTATGATCCTCCAGATAGTGGGCAGAGGTTATAATTCTAGTCCTATAGGTGAGGAAACCGGGGTTGCGAAACAAAGAGTGACTTGCACAAGGTCACACAACCCACGTGGCAGGCTGGGCTTCAAGCTCAGCAGAATGATGGCAGTCACAATAAATAATATAGTATTTACTACATACCCAGTGCTGTTCTAACTGCTTTATATGAATTAACCCATTTTAATCCTCAAAACAGCCCAATAAGATTAAAAAAAAAAAGTTGCCATCAATTCGATTCCAACTCATGGCAACACCATGTGTTTCAGAGCACAACTGTGCTCCATAGGGTTTTCAACAGCTGTGATCTTTTGCAAGTAGATTACTAGGCCTTTCTTTAGAGGCAACTCTGGATAGATTTGAATCCCCCAGAGCATAACCATTTGTGCCACCCGGATAATTGCATCACCAGGGCTCCCCCAATGAGATAGACACTACTATTTCTCCTATTTTACAGATGAGATAATTGAGGCACAGAGAGCTTGAGTAACTTGCCTAAGGTCACACCACTAACAAGCGGCAGAGTTTGCATTCAAACTCAGGTTGTTCAAACAGAAACACCCTCCTCAAATGGTAGCTACGGCTCTGGTCCCAAGGGCAGGACAATACAGAAAAGAAGGCTGGTCCATTGATCAGCTGGCTGGGAAGACATGAATAGCCACACTGCCAGAGATGTCACCATCTATTACAAAGAACAATGGTCTCTCTGTGCTAGTAATGTATTTCAAGAGTGATTATAATATAAAGAAAGAGGAAGGCGAGTACAAAGGATTTTTTAATTGTCTGAAGATCCTTTTGCCACAAGCCAAATATCCCACTAGGGTGAAGCTGGTTTATCTGTTACTGCTTTGAATAAGCAGGGGACCATGATTTGCACAATTACCTTGCTTACTTTTAACCACCCTGTGATCTCTTCCTTCTCTGAACTCCTGCTGCACTTTGAGTCTTAACATGTAATTATACTTTGCTTTGTACTCAGGGATGGATTAGCCAGTAAGCAAGGAACACACAGGCTTACAGTAAGCAAGGCACGCACAGGCTTACTTGTGTTTACTTACTAATCTGTAGTACACAATTTCACCTGTTTTTCACCACATAAAAGCAGGTGAAACTGTGCACTACAGATTAATAAGTAAGCCTTGTGTAGCTTGCCTATCGGCTAATACGTCCCTGTTTGTACTCATACTCAATTATTCTATATGTAGTCATCCTGTCTCCCCAAACAAATTATAAGATACTCTAAGACCAGAATCTGTATTGTATGCCTTCATTGGCTCCTCAGCACCAACCTAAAGTGGTAAAGACTAGGTAGTAGGTATTTGGTCTATATTTGCTGATTGCTTGAATGATAATCTTTAAGATAAATTCTCAGACGTTTCTTAAGAAGTATTTGTGCTTGTTCCAGATTTGTTGACTAGATGAAATTGCTTTTTCTTTGTTTTGTTGCAGTTAAATTGTAAATATTCATATATAAAGATACGTGTTGGTGAATGTTTAACAAACAGCTCTCCAGGATAAGAAAAAAGAATTGATTTGTAGTATTTGCGATGATGTAAATATTTTCACTGTGTCCTATGTCAACCTACCAGCATGATGTCAACTGGCTTGCAAATTCCTGAACATTTAACAATTAGGTCTATTGAACTAGTGCAAGCTGGCTCCAAACACCACAGTTTATCCCCCTAAAATACGATCTTTGCTGGATGTGATGACTTTTGGTTTTCTGTCTCAACAAAGACTTGCTTAGTGTGAGATTGTATCTAGGTTTGCCTAATATATAAGAATGTTGGTTTGTGTATATGATAATGGAGTTCCTGGGTGGTGCAAAGAGTCAACACACTCTGCTGATAACTGAAAGTTTAGAGATTCTAATTTACCCCAAGATGCCTCTGAAGAAAGAACTGGTGATCTACTAACAAAAAATCAGCCATTGAAAAACCTAAAAGCACAGTTCTACTCTGACACACATGGGGTTGTCATGATTGGGAATCAAATCAACAGCAACTGGTTATATGATAATGTAAAATACAAACCTTAGCAATGTAGCAATGGCTCACCTAGTCATTCCAGGGTCAAGCTGTAAAAAAAAGATTTTATATTTAAATTGATGGAACTAAAAAATTAAAATCTACACCCTTAAGTCAACCAAACAACCAAGTTACCTTCTATTGCCTATCTTGCCTAAGATCCCCTGGCGCAGGAATTCTTGCTTTGGTCTATGGACCCAGCCTTGCTCAAGGTATCTGTGAACCCTTGAAAGTACTGTTTGTCTGTATATGTGTGTGTGTGGTGCCATGGGTATTTTTCTGGAAAGAAATGTTCATCAGATTCTCAGAAATGTTAAAAATCCAAAGACAGTGCTAGGCAGTCAGTAAACCTCTGTGGAATTAGGAAGTCTGGGAACTGGGTCCCAGAAAGAATATATTCATACAGGGATTGTTTATTTATTTTTATTGAGCTATAATTCATATACCATAAACTCGCCCTTTTAAAGTATACAATATAGTGGTCTTTAATATATTCATAAAGTTGTGCAGCCATCATCACTATCTAATGCTAAGCCCATTGCTGTCGAGTCGGGTCCGACTCATAGCAACGCTATAGGGCAGAGTAGAACTGCCCCATAGGGTTTCCAAGGAGTGGCTGGTGGATTCAAACTGCCAACCTTTTGGTTAGCAACCGAGCTCTTAACCACTACACCACTGGGGTTCCCCAATATCTAATAGGGGTTATTTATTGAGAACCTTTGTCCCAAATAACTTTCTTTCTTTTTTTTTTTTTGGGTGGGGGTTATTGGGGTGAAAAGATACATAACAAAACATACGCCATCTGAACAATTTCTACATGTACAACTCAGTGACATTGATTACATTCTTCAAGGTGTACTACCATTCTCATTATTCTTTTCCAAATCATTCTACCACTATCAACATAAACTCAGTGCTCCGTAAGCAAACCCCCCCCCCTTACCCTTTTGTCTCATCCCTGGTAACCACTAATAATTTCTGTTTTCTATATAGTTGCTGATTTCATACAAGTGAGATCATACAGTATTTGCTCTTTTGCGTCTGACTTATTTCACACAGCATGATGTTTTCAAGGATCATCCATGCTGTGGATGGCTGAGCCAAGCACCCTTTTTTCAGTGCAATAGATCCAGCAATCAGAGCAAGATGGATGAGGTCTCTGTCTTAAAAAAAAACTTACTTTCCATTGTTGTTATTTTTGTTGTTAGGTATCATTGAGTCTATTTCAACTCATACTGACCCCATGTGACAGAGTAGAATTGCCCCATAGGGTTTCTAGGCTGTAATCTTTGTGGGAGCAGATTGCCAGGTCTTTCTCCCACAGAGCTGCTGGGTGGGTTTGAACCGCCAACCTTTCTGTTTGCAGCTGGGTGCTTAACTGTTGCATCACCAGAGAACTTTACCTTCTATTAGGGTAGACAATAAATAAGTGATCAATAATTACACCCCCATTCATCTTGTGATCTTCCCTACGAAGGAAATTATAAGGATGCAAAGTGATAGATAAGGAATGGGACTACTTTTTGCTTTTTATATAGGGTACTCAGGGAAGGCCTTCCTGAGGTGAAGCCTGGCATGGGAAAATGAGAAGGAGCCAGCTCATAAAAGAGCATTTCTGGCACAGGATACAACAAATGCAAATGCCCTGAGGCAGGAATGAGATTAGGGTGTCAGAAGAACAGAAAGATGATAGGTGAGGCTGGGGCAGAGTGGGCATGGAAGAGAGTGGTACAGATGAGAATGGAAAGGTAGGCAGGGGCTAGATCAATTATAGGCAAGGAGGCCATGGGAATAGATTTGGATTTTTTTTTTTTTTGGTAGATGTAATGAAAAGTAATTAAAGGATTTCAAATGAGAGATTGACAGGGTCAGATTATGCCTGATTCTAGCTGTTGGGTGGAGGCTAGATTGTAAGAGAAGAAGCTCTGAATCCAGTAGTGACACCATTGTAGAAGTTGAGGAGTGAGATGATCGTGGTTAGAACTTGGAGATGAAGAGAAGTCGACCCAGTGGAGATGTGCTTTGAAAATAGAATTGACAGGACTTGCTGATGGGGGTAGGATGGTGGCAAGAGAGAAAAAAAGGATGTCACTCAGGTCTTGGGCTTGCACAACTGAGTGGACGTGGTATCGCTTGCCAAGATGGAAAGACCTGAAAGGCACAGATTTAAAGGGGAAAGTCAAGAGCTTATTTAGCTCATGTTAAGTTTGAGGAGACTCTTATAGACATTCAAATTCATTGCTAATTGATCGAAATGTGTTTTTAAATGCACGACTACTTATTTAAAAGCAAATAAAACTTAATTTTGCTGCGAGAATTTCAGAGGTTTCACAACACCTCCTGACATAATAGGAGACACATTGGAGTGTTGGGAATCACACGGTCCTCTCACCTAAGAGGAGAGCAGCACCCATAAATTGGATGTCTGAAAATTGTTAACCTTTGCTGTTGTTAGCTGCCATCACGTCGACACCGACTCATGGTGACTTTAAGTACAACAGAATGGAACTTTGCCCAGTCCTGCATTCTACTCGTAATTGCCAGCATGTTTGAGTCCATTATTATGGGTATTGTGCCAAATCCATATCCCTGAGGGTCTCCCTTGCCCTCCTTGGCTCTCTACTTCACCAAATATGATGTTCTCCTCAAGTGATTGATCCCTCCTGATGACGTGTCCAAAGCAAGCAAATGGAGAATGTTCTGTTGTGATCCATAAGGTTTTCACTGGCTAATTTTCAGAAGTAGATTGTCAGACCTTTCTTCCTACTCTGTCTTAGTCTGGAAGTTCCACTGAAGCCTATCCACTGTGGGTGACTCTGTATTTAAAATACTGGTGACATAGCTTCCAGTATCATAGCAACATGCAAGCCACCACAGTAAAACAAACTGACAGACAGGTGGTGGAGTGTCTGGGTGATGCAAATGGTTAACACATTCATCTGCTAACCCAAAGGTTGGAAGTTTGAGCCCACCCAGAGGCACCTCAGAAGAAAGGCCTGGCAATCTACTTCTGAAAAATCAGCCAGTGAAAACCCTATGGAGCACAGTTCTACTCTAACACATGGGGTCTCCCATGGACAGCAAGTGTTAACCTTTAGCTCCCCTTAACTCATCCCCCTATTCACCCCCCTCCCTGATCTCCCTTATGCCCTAGATCATTCAAGAAATAGTTTTTGACCATCTCCTCAGTGCTGGATGGCTGCTAAGCACCAGAGGTACAGCAGTGAAGAAGAGAGTTGCTCCCTCTTTTCACAAGATTCTGGGACCTGAAGGATGAATATGAGCCAACAGAGTGAAGAAGAACAGAGGAAAGGCATCAGGGCAGGAGAGCTGACAGGTTTGAAGACCTTGAGGAGAGAGCATAGAACATCCCAGGATGTGAACCAAGTTAGAGACGGTGTGACATAAGGCAGAAGAGGTTGGGCAAGGGCCCTCACTTAAGCCCCTTGGAAGCTCTGGGAAGATGTTTGGATGTGGGGACAGTGGGGAGCTACCAGCCCCAAGCCTAAGCCTGTTGCCCTCGAGTCGATTCCAACTCATAGCAACACTATAGGACAGAGTAGAACTGCCCCATAGAGTTTCCAAGAAGCAGCTGGTGGTTTCAAACTGACAATCTTTTGGTTAGCAGCCAAACTCTTAACCACTGTGCCACCAGGGCTCCGTGAGGAGACACTAGAGAGTTTTAAATAGGGGAAATTCATGACCAGGTGTGCATTTCAAAATAGACTTGTACTTTGTGGAGAACAGATGTGAGAGAAAAAAGTAGAGGTAGACAGCTCAGTTGAGATACTCATTGGAGTCTAGGTGATATATGGTGGTGGTTTGATCTAGAAGGGGTGGCAGAGGAATTTTCCAGGTCGAATGAGTAGGATGGGACCACCAAATTTTACCAGACCTTGTCTCTCCCACCCAGAGAGCTGATTAGTCATATCGAAAAAGGCAGTATGTGAAGACCATGTCTTTTTGTGGCCTGGTAAAGCCATTTAATAAGGGAGTCTACCTTATAGATTATTCTGAGAGGCTTGAAGAAGATTTTTTTTAGGACAAATGAAAGCTTATACTGATTGGTGCTGAACTCACCCTGAAAACATCCCTTCCTTTTCCATTCAGCTGTGCACGCTTGTGGCCTTGAAGGGCAGCATTGGTGTAATTTGGAGGTTTTCATAGCCTCTGCTTGGAATATGTGGATGTGCAGTTGTTACACATATTTTCATTCTGGTATTTTTATGACCTGAGCTATTTTAGTCAGCCTCCCAGTGCTGGGAGGACCCAAGAGGACCCCAAAAGCCCAATTATTATCTCCAGGAATCTGAAAACCTAGTAACTTGGAAGGTTGTGAGAAGGCACCGCCCCAGGGCTGAGGGCTGCATGTCCTCCCTGTACTCAGAACCGTGGGGTGGGCCCCCTGACTTAAAGGTAGAGCATCCTTCCTCTCCTGGCAGTGTCATTTACATTCAATGTAAAACCACAACTGGGTGGAAAATGTGCCCAGTTGGAAAAACCAGCAAAAATACAAGCCAAGTATTTGGTATTTCCACCCAATTCCTTCCACTAGGACACAAAACTTCTAAATCCTCACCCCCACCCCC